AGAGAGAGAGAGAGAGAGAGAGAGAGAGAGAGAGAGAGAAGAGAGAGAAATTGCAAGACACTTTTGAGTTTTCAAAGACCTTTTTGTTTTGCAATTTGGAAGTTGGGGTACACTTTGCAGGCTCCCCTATAAATGCATTTCCCTAAAGTTCCCATCGACAGAGAATCTAGGCAAGATCCAGCAAAGTCTCTTTCTTTTGCCAAACATACACCATGTGTGCCATAGAAAAACCTGCATGGACCCCAAATTCCCCTCATCTGACAGTCCCTGGTTTGGTCTGGTGGTGCAACCAAGGTACAGGAGCCATAATTCTTCCTTGAACCTATTCTTCATGGGCAGGAGGTACAGTCAAAGGAATCTTCATCCTAGGTATTGGCTTTTGCAAATCCAGTTTTCTCCTTGGGGCTCACGTCTATTTCGGGAGGACACTGGCTCAGTAGGGAGTTGCAAGGTCTGAGTTCCTTGTGCCAAGCCCAAGGCAAGCACAGAACAGGACATCTGTGGGTGCCACCCGTGGGGTGCCACCAGAGGGGACCAGCAGGTACAAAGGGTTGGAGCCTGGAGAACCTGTGATCATTGCCCCAGAAGGAAGGACTAGACAGAGGAAAGACCCACAGGGGGAGTCTTCCTGCCCGACGGGCCTCAGGCACCTCTAGGATCAGCAACACCAGCTTGCGCTCAGCCCCAGCCATGGTCTGCTTTTAAGCTTAGGTTTCCTTAGAACTTGAGCTGCCCCGGGATGGGAACCTGGTGTCCCAACCTCAAGTGGCCCCCTGTCCGGACATCACCACCCCTAGAATGAATGAGGCGCAAGGCTTTCTCTGCTCAGTGAACCCCGAGACAGGGACGTGGTCTAGGTCCCTCCTGGGGCCACCGCCGCCGTCGCCTTGGAGATGGACTGGACAATCGACGGCTGCCCCGAGGTCCAGCGGCAGTTCCCGGTCCCTCGAACCTCCTCCGACCCTCCCGCCTCCCGAGCATCGAGCATCGAGCATCAGTCGGGGACGACAAGGCGCCCCAGGCGCTGCAGCTTCGGTGCCCGCCCTCCGCCCCGGCCGTCCCGGGTTCCGCGCCCCGACGCCGACCGCCTGCTCCTCCTACCTGCGGCGGGGGCTGCCCGGGCAGCTCCGGGCTCGGGCCGCGCTGGGACGCGGGCTCCTAGTTGGCTCGCACAGCTCGCCTGCAACCTCACTGCTCACTGGGGCTTCGAGGGCGGGCGGAGAGAGGCGGGGATGTGGGCGGGGCTCGACTGGACCCGCCCACTGGGCGGGGCTTGTTCGCACCGTCCGGCCCGCCCCCTTCTTGCTTCCCGCCTCTCTCCTCCACCCTCTCCTCTCCTGCCTAGCCTCCACTCACTTCCCTCTGCCCTGTTCCCTCCTCTCTCTGCCTACTCCTCCTCTCTCTCCCTCTGCCCTTCTTCTCCCCTTTCTGTGGCCCTCCCTCTCCCAACCCCGCTCCTTTTCTTCCTTCCCTGTCCCCTTCCTCCTTGGCCTCCGGCCTTGCTCAGGCTCTGGCCTGCTCTTTCTTGGTTCTGGCTTGCTGGCCTGGCTGGCCTTGCAGGTCTTCCTCAGTTGCCCTGTCCTCTTAGTTTCTCTGACTCTGTCACAGCTTCTTGCTCCCTGATGGTCATTGTGGGTGCTGTGCTGGGCTTTTGTCCCCTCCCAGCCTCCCCGTCTGCTGCTGCCTTCATGGGGACCAGGTTCCCACTTGGAGCTACAAGACTGGGATGGATAGGACTAGGAAAGTCTGCCACCATGGGGTTAGTCATGGAGACTCATGTGTTTCTGTGTGTGTGTGTGTGTGTGTGTGTGTGTGTGTGTGTGTGTGTGTGTGTGTGTGTGTGTTCACATATACAACGACAGAAAGATACAGTCTGCTCTGGAAACCCCCAGGATGGCTAAGGACCCCCGGGGAACTCTGTTTCTAGCTCTTGAGGCATGAGGGGTTGTCTAGAAAAGTTTAGCTCCTGGCCAACCCCAGCCCAGCGCAGGCTTCCTTTCTTCCCAAGTCCTGACCTGCCTTCTTCCACAAAGGCTCCTGGACACCATACCATGACTGCCTTTTCCGTGTTCTCCAAAGACTCAGAATTTCTTCTTTTCCACCCTTAGTGCCCCTGTTTCTGTCCCTGAGTCTAGCATCAACCAATTAACCTTGCATCCCCCACCTTCATCTATCCTGGGGTCTCTGCCTTAGACATCCAAAGGCTGCTTGACTTCAGTCTCTTTCCCCAAGCTCTCTCCCACAAGCACTTCAAGTAAATCTTTCCTGAGCTCCTTCTGCGTGCCAGGCACTGGTCTGGCCTTTTCAACGTAGTGAGGACACACAGGCCATGGCTCTCATTGTGGTCTGCAACCAGTGAGAGAGACAGGCTTTCCTAGAATATACAGGAGCCCAGAATCACAAGCTCTGCCAGGGCTACATATGTGGGTCCTAGCCCAGTTTGGGATGGAGCAAGAGGGTCCACTCCCAAACGTGCCATTTAGCTGGGGGTTGCAGCATGCATTCATGGATGCATGAACAGAGCTGTCAGCTGGAAACGTGGCATGGCTTTGAACAGCGATAAAGACAAGCAATAAAGCAAGGAGGAAATGTTGCTTTCCTTTGCCTGACGTTCATTTAATGTCTTCCAGTCTCAGTACCTCAGTTTGTATGAGGAACTTCTCTCCATTCACTATCATGTATTTGTGTGGAGTTCCCTGTCCACAGGTGGACATATGACCCAGAGGTCCATCTTTCAGTCAGGGCACATCACCTTAATCAAAGAGTTTGTAACAAATGCTGCGCTGTTGTTACCTCCATTTGGGACTTTTGTCAAAAGTCTTGTCCAACAGAATTTTGATCAACACCAAGGTTCTAAGCCTGGGAATGCTACATGTGGGGCTGGAGTAGATTCTACTTGATGAAAGAACAAAAGGGAACAGAAGGGAGACTGAGTCCTGATGCATATTGTTTGAGCCCTGGATACAGCCATGCCTGAAGGCAGCATTACCCTCTGAGTCATCAAGTTCCCTTTACTTCCTTTTTGCAAATTTGGATTCTGTTGATGTATAAAATCAAAACAGTCCTTAAGAAAGCAATGTTGGGGGCTGGAGAGATGGCTCAGTGGTTAAGAGCACTGACTGCTCTTGCAGAAGACCTGGGTTCGATTCCCAGCACCCACATGGTGGCTACGAACCGTCCTTAACTCCAGTTCCAGGGGAATCCGAAGCCCTTTTCTGACCTCTGCGGCATTGCGCGACACGGGTGCACTTACATACATGCAGGCAATGCACTCATACACATAAAAAAAATAAATAAAAAAAGAAAGCAATGTTGAAATGAAGATTTTGATGAATTACACAAACACCCCATCCTTTTCTTCCTTCAAGTACACTAGATAATCCCTCCCTCCCCCCACCTCTCTCGTTCCTGCTCTTGCCTGTTTTTAATGAGAATTCATTCCCATCTTTCCACATCTCTATGTACATCAGACCTTCCACTGAAAGCTACCCCTGGCAGTCAAGCCAATTTCTGAGGCTGCCCATCTGATGCCAAAATGTTCTTTATGGCACCCCCCATCACCCCAATGCTACCCAGCCCAGTTGTATCTCCCCAACCACAGTGAACACCTTAGTCCACCAGGCAGATAGTGTCAAAGCGCAAACTAGCATGGTGGAGCCTCTGGAGCGGGGGCAGAGGGTGCTGTAGCTAGAGGTAAGTGCAGGCAGGAGCTCCAGCCCCCTACAGAAAATCTGAGTTAGGTTCTGTTAGGTGACTCTCTGGCATCTCACAGCTGGGAGGCAGCCTCCCAACAGCCTTCTTCCGCAAATGTCAACTGCCAAGCCCTAGTGATGGCCAGGAGAATTTGAAGTGGAAGAGGAGAAAAGCTTAGGGTGGAAAGCTCTTCCCTCCATCTCTTTACCGTCATCATTTCTATCAATGGGTGAGTCTTGGGTTGGTGCTGGCCAGCAGCTAACACCTCTTGGGAACATGGGCAAGTATGGGTGCTCGCCCTGGGCCCCCAGCTGGGGCAGACAGCAGGATCTAGAGCACATTGGCTGTCTTGCTGTTTCGTCCTTGTGTTTATTTTCACGGAGATCTATTTCTGGCAAGTAATATTGGTCTTCTAGTTACAGTATGATGTAAAGATTCCTTTTGAGATACATTTATTTAATCTAAAAAAAGAAAATATTTAAGTAAATAAAAATAGACATGGCACACAGATTTTTTGCCCAGTTCTTGCGCCTGGTTTGCAAATGACTTAAGTTTGAGCAGCCTAATTTAGAGAAATATTTCATCTGTGTATTCATTGACTCAACAAATATTTATTGAACACCTGCTGCATGTGAGACATGGGGGAGGACCAGACGAAGAATGCCAGAGTCTGGGTGATTCCATCCCAGAGTCCAGGGTCTGAACGCGGATGGTTCACCCAACACATTAAAAAAACTGAGACTTGAAACTGAGGGCACTGGGGGAGTCAATCGATGCTCTAGAGTTGATAGGAATAGCGAGATAAGGCTAATTATTAGGCTGTGGCATGTGGTGTTTGTTCAGACTATTTTGTTGTTTGTGAATCAGGTTAGTGGTAGGAGTATAATAGATGGTATGATAATTTTTAGCATTGTAGGAGATTAAGGTTTTGTAGAAAAGTGAGGTAGGATTTAAGAAAGCTGTCACTGGCCGGTATTCAGGATGGAATGACAGAAAAGAAGATTGGAAACCAATAGCTCACTGGGGGCAACTGCTTGATAGATGAGAGATGCAGAGTACTTGGCATCTAGCTGAGTTCCTAGCACATAGCAGGCACTCAGTAAATGGCTGAAACTATTATCATTACTATTATTTTAAAAAAAAGAAACCGTTTTTCCTTGACTTGGGGGAGTTCACTGAGTTACACACACACAGACCATCAAACTAGAAATTGCCAGTGGCTATTAGTTGGACCCTCTACTTGGTTAATTGGAGCCCCAAGAGGAGACTTGTCTGAGGACATCTGTGTGGTGGTACATCCAGGAAAACATGAATACCAGCTTTTTAGAGCTCTTACTGTATGCCAATCAATGACACATGGGAACACAGGCACAGAGAAGTTAAGTTATTGGTTCACAGGCACACAGTTGGAATGCTACAGAGCTGCGATCCCAATTCAGTGGGGCTAGTAACTCATCTTGTCTCTGGACTTTCTTGTAATCCCTTCCAACCAGCCATCAGAGCACTGTACTTCTTTTTTTAATATTTTATTTATTATTTTTATTTTATATGTATGAGTGTATTGTCTGCATGTATGTGAGTGCACCCAAGTCGTGCAATGCTGCCAGAGGTCAGGAAAGGGCTTTGGATTCCCCTGGAACCACAGTTAAGGACAGTTTGTAGCTGCCATGTGGGTGCTGGGAATCGAACTTGGGTCCTCTTCAAGAGCAGTCAGTGCTCTTAACCGCTGAGCCATCTCTCCAGCCCCGAGAACACTGTACTTCTAATGAATGAGACCTTCAGTGGGTATCAGAAAGTCCATAGTTGTCACCTACCTGCTGTGGGAACTTGACAAGTCCTTGCCTTCTCTAAGTCTGTTCCTTTCCAATACACTGACTTCCGGGTACAGATGCTCCAGCTATGGCTGGAGTTGGCTGTCCCAGCCCTTATTCAGTCCTGTTGGCTAAGGACCATCTTCTGTTCAAACTGACATTGTTTCCATGACAACATACAATTCCATCCTTCAGGCTTACTAAAAGTATGGTGAGATGGAAAATCCCCTCTCCAACCCAATAAAATCCCTGTTGTGGGGAAACAGGACTGGCATGCAATGTTTTGATTTCCAGAAGGGCTGAATTACTTTACCCATACCCCTTCTGTGCCTAAATCCCCCCATTAGCAAAGAGTCCCCCACAGTATTGTGTAAACGCACTAGAGGCACCATACACCTCATGGGAGGTAGTAGGACACAAGGTCATCTTGTTATCCTGTCATGCTGGGGAAAATCACTGCTGGCTGAGTTCTCACTGCAGAATATTCATATAATTCTGCCTGCCTCACCTGCTGGGTAGGTACCTGGACACTCCGGCATGTGACCATAGGGAATAGGCCCTAAGGATGGGCTGGCCAGCACCTCAGGAAGTGGCTGGATGAACACTTTTCCAAAGCATGCAGCTTTATAATGCCCTGCTGGCTCTAGAGCTAGCTGATTTCATGCAAGGGACTCACCTTCATGGGCCTTAGTTTTTTCCTCTAGGATTTTTCTCACAAAGC